CACACACACACACACACACACACACACACACACACACACACACACACACACACACACACACACAGCTGTCTCTCGTTGGGGTTTGTCTTAAATTTTCGCATCACAGCTGTGCGCGGCAGTGCTTGCTTGTTTATGCACCGCAGACGCAATGGCTTTGGTGTGTGCGTGTGTGCGCGCCCGTGTGTGTGTAAATGTGGTATGTGTGTGCGTGGGTGCGTGTGTGATTGTGCGTGTGCATGTCCGTATGTGTGTGAATGCGGTGAGTGCGTGCGTGCGTGCGTGTGTGATGTGTGTGTGTGCGCACGTGTGCAAATATTTGACAACGGGAGGTGTAACCCTGCCCGCCGCCGTCCACTGCCATTCAAGAAAACTATATCTTCAAAACTACTCAATGCATTTTGCTTTTTTTAAGAATTTTACTTATTATTGATGCTTCTAACCAAAATGATATTTTCAAAAATAATATCTATATAAGCGAAATTGTATTATGAAATCACCCCATTTTCTTTTTTTTGAAAAATTGTATGTCATTTTAAGGTATAATTTTCAGATTTTATATATATATTTAGATACAAATATCGTTTACTGTAAATACGTCCTCAAATAAAAGTAAGAGATAAATGGTTAAACCGCCATCCTCAAATCAGAACCCACTCAAACAGGTTAACAGCTGTATACAATGCGCCCAGTACAGACAGTACAGACGGGTGCGGGCAGGGGGTTCGGAGTCGGGTGCCGCCATATTGACCGGTAGGAAAGTGTATTTGCGCCGGATTTGGCATTTGTGTTGTGGCGTTTGCATTTGTGTTGCGGGATTTGCATTTGTGTTGTGAGATTTGTATTTGTGGTGAGCCTTCTGCGCCACCGTACTTCGGACATGGTTCGTAAATAAAATATTTCAAGAAAATAAATGTTTTCCCTACCTACCTACCTTATTTTTTTCCGGCATGTAACGGTAACCACACATGTATTTTGTTTTGGCCTTACTATTAACCAGACTCCAGGACATTCCATTTCTCAGCCCATTTTCCCCAAGACTTTCCAAGACCATAGCCCTAGAGTTCTCCCATCTGGAAAACGGAATTTTAAAGTTCCAGGACGAGTAACCCAAGAGAAAAGAAGAGAGTTCCCGTATAGGATACGCACCGAGTCGCAGTTCGCCAAAGTTCCCAGATCCAATCTTCTTCCCAACGCGGAAATTCGGGCCGACCATGAGCACACCTGAGGTGCCAGAGGTGGCGCCACCTTGCCGTTGGCCATGGACGGCACGACTCTGACCTTTCAAGGCCTTCTTCTGTGAATCTTGGTTCTCATCCTTGATGTTATTTGAACCGGGCGCTTGAGGCATCCTCACCGATCAGTCTGGATCCGTCGCACTGTCAAAGTAGGAAATACAGACAAGAGATATATATCTAGGAAGACTCGACAAATTTGTCACACGACTCGACAGCGACATCATGTACCTGCAATGACTTATATTCTTTCCCCTCAGCATGTAAGGTCTAATACACTATCCTCCTAACAGCATGTTCCAGAAATCACTTATATTCTCTCTCCCTTCAGCATGTAACTTGTAAGGTCTAATACACTAGTATCCTCCTAACAGCATACATGTACAAACAATGACTTGCTCTACCTACAGCCTGGAGTCTGACACACTCCCCTGCCATTGCTAACCAATTCCGATATTAAAGTAATGATTTCAAACAGTTTTCCTGACTAACCGTTCTCATATTTTTCCGACCACTGTTGTGCTTACTGGTGTTGCTTGCATAACAGCAAGTGTTTAAAGTAAGGCTAACATGTCATAGAACACTCATACAGCATTATTTCCACAAAATATACTGTATAATTATCATCCGTATTGTTTGTATCGAGATACGGACACTGCGTACCGGTTATCGTATCGTGGAACGCTGTATCGCGATTCACCGATGTATCGGTCAATCGTTACACACCTATCATTTTCACAAAACTGTACAACGATTGGAATCTGTTTGTTTACACCCTATTTACGTGGTTACTTGATGATGCCACTTATTTCTCGCGAGACCTGCAACAATTAATGTCAACCAATCTTCAAACGTGAACACCTGCATTCGATAAGTTTTTAATTTGTTACATTTCAGAGCTATTTGACAAGTGATCAAAGAAAATCTTAAGATGCCCTGTCTAACAATTGGTTATTTGTCACTCTGATGACTGATAGAAAATATCTATATAAATTAAAGTCCAAAGTTTTCCGTGTTGCGGAATATCCGCAAAAATCGCGGAATTTGCGTGAATCGCTGAAAACGCAGTTTTGAGAAGAAAAAAACCTCCAAAAATGACAAAAAACGAAATTTAATTAAATAAAAACTCTGAAAAAAAATAATAAGAAGAAAATCTGCTTTAAATTCATCTTAATAAACTC